AACCCTAAACCCTAAACCCTAAACCCTAGGGCTTACCTGCTCGACGTCGGTTATATCCTCTTCTGGCTGCTCTGTTGCTTCTCCATTTGTTTTTCTTTCTCTGCCTTCGGCGTCTCCATCTGCAGTTGCTGCTGCTGCTGACGGCGAGCTGCTGCTGCTGCTGCTGCCTGCTGCAGCGCTGCCGTTGCTGCTGCTGCTCGTCAGAAACCGAGCTGCTGCAGGGCAAGCAGCAGCAGACGCAGCAGCAGAAGCAGCAGCAGCAGCTGCTGCTGCTGCTGGGAAGCTGAAGTGGGCCCCCGAGAGCCCTCGCAGCCCAGCCCGAGGGTTTAGGGACTTGCCGTTAAAAGGCATTGCAAAGGCAGCGCCGAGAGATCTGCTGCTGCTGCTGCTGCAGCAGCAGCTGCTGCTGCTGCTGCTGCTGCTGCGGAAACCCCTCAAACCGGCGCGAGGAACCAGCCGGGAGGCCCCCGAACGGAAGGCGGAAAGCTTTGCTGCGTTCATGGTGTCAGTGCGTTGAGGTGTATGTACACCTCAGAAGAAGGCCGGGCCAAGGAGCGTTGAGGTGTATGTACACCTCGGAGGAAGGCTGTGCTGCTGCCGGGGCTGCGGGCCGCGTTGGAGGTCCCGTTCAGCTTATTTCCTTCATTCAAAAACCTTAATTAATGAAATTTAATGTTTAATTCAAGACTAAACATTCCTTTTTCTCTTTGAGACACCAAATGCACACAGAGGGCCCCACTGTACATGCACCCGGCGGGGCCGCCGCGCTCGTGAGCATCGCGCTGCGCAAAGTCGCAACTAAAAGGAGAAAAAAGGATAAATAAAGGAATTAACATACTTTTTAAAGTACTTTTTAATTAAATTAAATAATTAATTCCACATTTGCTGCCTTCCCGCCGTTTCAGCAGCTCCAGCGGAGCTGAGGTGTACAGACACCCCGATGCTCGCGCAGCCGCACAATCCCACCGGCTTCTTCGCAGCAAGTTTGTTTTATTTCCTTTTAATTCACTTCCATCTTTTTATTTTCTATTTTGCATTTAAAAAGAAACTTAAAATGCAAAAGTTCCCATTTCTAGTGGCGGCTTTCCCGGCTGCAGACGTGGGGCCCCGCTGTACGTATGTAGCGTCGCTGCTGCTGCTATTGCTGCTGCTACTCCTGGTGCTGCTGCTACTCCTGCTGCTGCTGCTGTTACTGTTGCTCCTGCTTTCTGCTGCTGCTGCAGTTGCTGCTGCTCCAGCCGTTTCCTTTTTGATGATACTTCTCCCGCTGCTACTGGTGTTGCTGCTGCCACCGCTTTTCGCCGCCGCTGCTGCAGCTGCTGCTGACCTCTTTGATCGCTGCTGATTCTGCTGCTGCTGCTGCTGCTGCTGACCCTTTTGGCCGCTGCTGCTGCTGCTTCCGGGGCAGATATCGCTGACTCTGTTGCCGGTGATGTTGCTGCAGAGGTTGCTGCTGCTGCTGCTGCAACGCCTGTTGCCGCTGCTTTTTTAATTCTACCTGCTGCTGCTGCTCTTTTTGGCTCTACATATGTAGATGCTGTTGTTGCTGCTGCTGCTATTACTGCTGCTGCTGCTGCTGCTGCTGCTGCTTTGCACAGTGTCCGGCCTCTACCTCTGTTGGTATTTCGGGTGTATGTACACCTCAGCTCGAAGTCTGCCTTTGCTGCTGATGAATTTAAATTAAATTCGCTGCAGCTCCATCATGCAAACCCTAAACCCTAAGCCCTAGACCCTAAATCCTACGCCCTAAACCCTAAACCCTAAACCCTAGTTACGGCAGAAGAGAACTGCTGCGAGAAGCACGCAAGGTGATATGCAATTGTATTAAAATTGTCGGTTGTATTATGGGTGCCCTAAACCCTAAACCCTAGACCCTAATCCCTAAACCCTAAACCCTAAACCCTAGGCCACCCGCCACAGAGCAAAGCGCCTAGAGGCTGCAGCTGCACTCTCCAGAAGATAAGTTGGCCTTATTCTGTTGCTGTACCTAGCTATGGCTAGCTGTGGCTAGCTGTGGCTAGCTAGCTGTGGCTAGCTAGCTGTGGCTAGCTAGCTGTGGCTAGCTAGCTGTGGCTAGCTAGCTGTGGCTAGCTAGCTGTGGCTAGCTAGCTGTGGCTAGCTAGCTGTGGCTAGCTAGCTGTGGCTAGCTAGCTGTGGCTAGCTAGCTGTGGCTAGCTAGCTGTGGCTAGCTGTAGCAAGCTGAGTGTTTGTAGACACTCTTTTAGGGTTTGGATTGAAGGAATTCGGGGGAGTGGGGAAAGCTGCTGAGATAAAACCACAAAGAATACAAACCCTAAACCCTAGACCCTAAACCCTAAACCCTAAACCCTTGGCAGTCAAAATGGCACCTGAGATAACAGCAACAAGACAGTGTGGAGCCGCAGAGATGAACGAAAGCACTTCTGTCAAGGCGTTAGGGCTAGGGTTTAGGGTTTAGGGTTTAGGGTTTAGGGTTTAGGGTCTAGGGCTTAGGGCTTGGGGTTTATTTAGCTAGACGGCCATGTGTCTAGCGTCTTCTAGCCTTATATTAAGCATTTAAAGACTCTGAGCTGCTCTATGATGTAGAGCTTAGGGTTTAGGGTTTAGGGTTTAGGGTTTAGGGTTTAGGGTTTGGGGTTTGGCGAGCCCCAATTAGCGAGAGGGCCCCGGGGGGCCCCAGGGCCCCCCTCAGTGTTCGTAGTCTCATTTGTTTGCTTCTTGTGTTTATATTCTCTTTTTTAAGAACTTTTTATGTTTTATTTAGTTAATTTAATTCAATTTGAGTGTTTAACCCGCTGAAAGCCTCAAAATAAACCCTGAACCCTAAACCCTAAACCCTAGGGTGAAGCCCCCGGTGGCCCACCGGGTGGCTCGCAGGTGTCCATACACCCCACCGACCCGTTTTTCTCTATCATTTCCTTTATTTCATTTAATTATTTTATTTTATATATTTTCCACTTTCAGCTGCAGCTTCATGCGAAGAATCTGGCTGGCTTCGCAGCAGCAGCAGCTGCTGCTGCTGCTGCTGCTGCTGCTGCACGAAGGTAAGGCCGAACCCGGTCGTTTTTCGCCGTTTTTCCGCGAAAATGGATTAAATTGCTTCAATTTGAGTTTTTAATTCTTTTTAATTTCCATTTTAATCATTTATTTGCAATTTCTTCGATTATTTTGCGACCTTTCGCCAGGAATTTCGCCGGGAGAGCCGCAAACGGCCACCGGCGGCAACTGCGTGGATTTGTTTCCTGCTGATGCTGCTGTTCTTTCCTACTGCAAAAATGGCGCTTCTTGCGGCGTCAACGTTTCCTCAGGTTTGCTGCTGCTGCTGCTGCTGCTGTTTTGCTGCTGCCGCTGCTGCTGTTTTGCCGCTGCTGCTGTGTCTGCTGGAGATGCTGCTGCTGTTTTTGTCGCTGCTGTTGAAGCCGCTGCCCTTTTCCCGCTGTTGCTGCTGTTGCTGCTGTTTCTGCTGCTGCTGCTGCTGCTGCTTTTGCCTCTGTTTTTGCTGCTGCAGCACTCGACACTTCTGCTGCTGCAGTTGCTGTCTTTGCTGCTGCTGCTGCTGTTCTTTCCGCCTCTGCTTCCACTACTGCTGCTTCTGCTATTCTTGCTGCTGCTGCTGCTGCTGCTGCACTTGCCTTCCCATAGCCCCCAAGCACCTCTCTAGGCCCCCCTTCGTTTATTATTTATTTACCTTTACATTTATTATTATTTTCATTTATTTATTTATTTATTTATTTATTTATCTATTTATTCATTTATTTGTTTGTTTCCAATTAGGCACTTTGCTGGAGTTGGTGTGCGACTGCCAGTCGCTGCAAACCACAGAGAAGTTTTACGGGGGCCCCGACTGCAGCATTGAAGAGGAAATGAATTACATCATGGGCTCTCGTGAGGGTTTAGGGTTTAGGGTTTAGGGTTTAGGGTTTGCGGAGCGTTTGAGGCGTAGACGGCTCAGTGCGAGGGGTTCGCTCTAGGCAGCAGCACCAGCAGCAGCAGCAGCAGCGGCGTCGGCTGGCGCGCAGGCCGCACCGGCCAGGCCCGAGGACCCACTAGGGTTTAGGGTTTAGGGTTTAGGGTTTAGGGTTTAGGGTTTGCGCGCAGTGGGGAGCGACGTGCCCAACACCTGCTGGCTGGAAAACCTGCTGGGCCTCAACGCCTGGAAAGATGTGGGGGGTCGAGTTTCATCTTTTTGTTATTCTGTCCCTTGTCCCAGCCCCGACTCAGGCTCCTGAAGCAGCAGCAGCAGCAGCAGCAGCAGCGGCAGCAGCAGCGGGGGCGGCGGCAGCAAGAGCGGAGCAGCTGCGGGAGCGGCGGCAGCAGCAGCGCAGCAGCAGCCGGAGCGGCAGCAGCAGGAGCTGCAGCAGGAGAGGGCCTGGAGCCGCAGGGACGCAGCAGCAGCAGCAGCAGCAGCAGCAACAACGGCAACAGGGGCGGAAGCAGCAGCAGCAGGAGCGGGGCCTGGAGCCGCGAAAGCGCAGCAGCAGCAGCAGCAGCAGCAGCAGCAGCAGTCCGTTGCTGCTGGCCGCCTTTTTCGGCGCTCGAGGCCCTGCAAGAGCATTTTAGTTAACTAGTTAATCAGTGTAATTAATTAACTAAATAATTAAATTAAATAATTAATTAATTTAATAGATTAGATTAATTAATTTAATTGATTGATCAAGTTGTTTTAATTTATTCGCTGATTTATTTGCCCCGACTTCTCCTCTTTGGCTTGCTGCTGCTGCTCCCGGTTGTTGCTGCGCAGCAGCACGCGAGTCGCACATTTTGCTGCTGCTGGTGCTGCTGCTGCTGCTGAGATGCCGCAGCAAATCGGGGCTGCTGCAGTGGCGAACTTGAGGCGCCACTGCAGCTGCTGCTGCTGCTGGACGTGCAGCTGCAGCAGTTGCTGCTGCTGCTGTTTGCAAGTAGCTGGCCCGACACCGAAGCAGCAGCAACAGAAGCAGCAGCAGCAGCTGCTGCTGCAGCTGCTGCAGTTGTGACCCAGCAGGTATTAGCTGGAATGCAGAACAAAACAAATTCATTCTTCTGTCGGAGCTTTTGTTGACAACGGGGCTCAGAAACACCAAATTAGGGTTTAGGGTTTTGAATTTAGGGTTTAGAGCCCCGAGGGTTAGGGCCCTTGGGGGCCCCTTGGGGGCCCTTTAGGGGCCCCTAAGGGCCCTGCAAAGTTTCTTAGGGGGCCCCCAAGGGTCCAAGGGCCCCTTTGGGAGCCCCATAGGGGCCCCTCTAGGGGCCCCCTTGGGGGCCCTTTTGGGGGCCCCTATGGGCTTCTCGGGGCCTTCTCGGGGGCTCTTTTGGAGGGCCTTTAGGGGTCCTTTTAAGGGGCCCCTTGGGGCCCCTGGGGCCCCCCTCGGGGGGCCCCCATTCTAGACCCTCCCCAGCTTGGGGGCCCCTCTAGAGCCCCATAAGGGGGGCCCCCAGGGGGTCCCCCCTATGGGGGGCCCCCTCTGGGGCCCCCTGTAGCGCTGCTCAATATGATTACTTTCACTATGGGGCCCCCTAGGGGCCCCGCCAGGGGCCCCGCCAGGGGCCCCAGCTGGGGGTCCCCCCGGGGGCCCCTCTGGGGACCCCTGGGGGCCCCCCAGGGGCCACCAGAGGGGGCCCCCATGGAAGGCCTGTGGGGCCCCCCTTTTAGAAGCCCTGGAAATGGAGTGCTGAGCAGCAGTGGTGGGGGTTTTGAGTTAATTTAATTGTTTTAATTTGATTAATTGAATTAAAATTGATAAATTAAATTAAATTAAATTAAATTAAATTAAATTAAATTAAAACGCTGCGAAGGCCAGAAATCGTCGATTGGACGCAGCAGTGCCTCGAGGGGCCCCCGCTGGGGGCCCCCCCAGCAGCAGCAGCAGCAGCGCAGCAGCAGCACCAGCAGCAACTGCTGCTGCTGCAGAAGAATCTGCTGCCTGAACGAGAGAAAAAGGGTCTTCTGAATCGAGCACACTTCATTCTTTCCAAATACAGCCAGCAGCAGCAGCAGCAGCAGCAAGAGCTGCAGCAGCAGCAGCAGACACAGCTAGCTGCAGCGCGAGACCCCCCGTCTCGCCAGCTAAGTTTTGGCGCAGCAGCAGCAAATGCTGCTGTAGAACGAATAAAATTCAACAGCAGCAACACGGCAGCAGCAGCGGCAACAGCAGCAGCAACGACAGCAGCAACGGCACGAACAGCAGCAGCAGCAGCAGCAGACACTTCTTGCTCTCCCTGCTGCTGCATACCGTGCAATGAGTGAGCTCGAGGCGCCCTTAGAGCCCTTTGCAGCAACAGCAGCAGAATACGGAGCTGCAGCAGCAGCAGCAGCAACGGCGGCAGCAGCAGCAGCTCCGGAATCTCCCGCAGCCGCGGATTCAGCTGCAGCAGCAGCTGAAGCAGCGGCAGAAGCTCCGCAAGCAGCAGCACAATGCTGTCTAGACAGCGGCAGCAGCAGCAGCATCTCCCGCTGCTGCGACAACAACGACAGCAGCAGCAGCAGCTGCGACGGCAACAGTAGCAGCAGTAGCAGCAGCAGCAGCAGTAACTGCTACAACAACGACCACAGCAGCAGCAGCTGCTGTGACAGCAACGAAAGCACCAGCATTGGCAGCAGCAGCAGCAGCAGCAGCAACAGCAGCAGCAGCAGCAGGCCTGAGGTGCTGCGGCTTCGAGTTCGGGTGCCCCCAAATGTTTTTAATTTGACAGTTCATTCAAAGGCATCTCTGGATGAACTGATGCAAAGAGGTGTTTGCTGCTGCTGTTGCTGCTGCTGCTGTTGTTGCTGCTGCTGCTGCTGTTGCTGCTGCTGCTGCAGCCGTTGCTGCTGATGTTGATGCTACTGCTGCTCGCGCTTTCTGCTGCTGCTGCTGCAGAAGCTACTTCAGTGCTACTACTACTGTTGTTGCTGCTGCTGCTGTTGCTGCTGGTGATGGCGCCATTGCTGCTGTCGCTGCTGCTGCTGCTGCTGCTGCTGCTGCAGAAGCTAATTTAGTGCTACTGCTGCTGCGTCCGTTGCCGCAGTTGCTGCCGTCGCGGACATCGATGTCGAAGCCATCGACTCGAGTGAGCCAACAGCAGTAGCAGCAACAACAACAGCAGCAGCAGCAGCATTAGCAGCAGCTGCATCAGCAGCAGCAGCAGCAGCAGATGGTTCGGCAGCTGCTGCACGTAGCACTGTTGCTGTTACTTTCACCGCTGTTGCTGCTGCTGCTGCTGCTGCTCCTGCTTGAGCAGTATATCTGAGCGCTGCAGCTTGCAGCGGTTCTTTCCGTAGCTGCCGCCATTGCTGCTGCTGCTGTTGCTGCTGCTGCTGTTGCTGCTGCTGCTGCTGCTGCTGCTGCAGTCCGCTGCGGCTTCCCCCCTCAGCCTCTCAAAGAAGAGGAAGGGGGGCCCCTGCAGAAAGTGAGCGATGGAGAGGCCCTGCTGGTGATGCTGCACGCTAACAGTGAGCTAGGGTTTAGGGTTTAGGGTTTAGGGTTTAGGGTTTAGGGTTTGGCGTTGGAGACGCGGAGGAGGGCTCGATGCAGCTGGTTTGCAGCAGCAACAGCAGCAGCTTAGCAGCTTCATGGCCAGCAGCACAGCAGCAGCATCGCAGCAGCAGCACAGCAGCAGCAGCACAGCAGCAGCAGCACAGCAGCAGCAGCACAGCAGCAGCAGCACAGCAGCAGCAGCACAGCAGCAGCAGCACAGCAGCAGCAGCAGCATCTACTTGCTCGCTGTGTGTCCCGTTTGCTGCAGAGGGCCGGCAAGCTGTCTCCTCTCGCCCAGTCCCTAAACGCCTGGCCCGCAGCAGCAGCAGCAGCAACAGCAGCAGCAGCAGCAGCAGCAGCACGAGAGCCCAGGGCCTGTCTTTTACTGTGGGCAGCAACATTGTGACTCTCGGCACGCCAACAAAGCGGGACAGCAGCAGCAGCAGCAGCAGCCGCGCAGCGATTGGCAGCAGCAGCGGCAGCAGCAGCAGCAGCAGCAGCAGCAAGAAGCGAATCAGCACCAAGGGACCCCATTTGGGGTCAACTGAAGAAGAGGTTGCGGGGAATATAGTCAAGCTTTTTGTGAGCTGCTGCTGCTGCTGTTGCTGCTGCTGCTGCTGTTGCTGCTGCTATTTTGGTCTAGCAGCGTCAACTGCTGCGGCGGCTCTTGCTGCTGTTGCTGCTGCTGCTCGACTGAAAAGGAGCAGTGCTCATGCTACTGATCTTGCTGCTGCTGCTGCCGGTCTTGCTGCTGCTGCTGCTGCTGCTGCTGCTGCAGACTGAGAGGGGCTCATCTAAGGGCGAAAGGGCTGTACGCGCGGCGTTCAAGTTGGCTCTTAATAGGAGATATGGTGCGCTGCTGCTGCTGTTGCAGCTGTTGTTGCTGCTGCTGCTGCTGCTGTTGCTGCTGCTGCTGTTGCTACTGTTGCTGCTGTAGCTTCCATTGCCGTTGCTGTTCCTGTCGCCGCTGCTGCTGCTTTTGTTGCTGCTGCTGCCGATGTTGCTGCTGCTGCTGCCCTCTTTGCTTGTGTTTGTTTCTGTTTCTGCTGCTATCGCCCTCCCTGAAGATGTTTTACTGTTTTCAGGAATGCTGCTGCTGCTGCTCTGCTGCTGCTCTGCTGCTGCTTTGCTGCTGCTGTTGCTGCTGCAGATGAGTCAGCAGCTGAGCGCCGCTGGTCTGCTGTCCAGGGTGGTGCCTACACACTGGAGCAGCAGCAGCAGCAGCAGCAGCAGCCGCAGCAGTTTTCCGTTTCTTTTAAAGACTCGCTAAACCCTCATGAGACAGTTGTGGAGACATATCCCAGTGAGCTCTCGTATGCAAGAAGCAGCAGCAGCAGTAGCAGCAGCAGCAGTAGCAGCAGCAGCAGCAGCAGCGGCAGCAGCGGCAGAAAAAAAGCAGAAGCAGCGGCGGAAGTGTTAGAAGCTACTGCTTCAATCCTGCAGAAGCAGCATCGACCCCAGCTGGTTTGTGGAGGTGTACCTGGACGCATGTGTGGCTGCTGCTGCTGCTGCTGCTGTTGCTGCTGCTGCTGCTGCTGCTGCTGCAGGTCTGAGCCGTAGTTTGCTGCTGCAGGTGCTGCGGTCTGTGTGGGATAGCAACGACGAAATTGCCCGAGGCAATTTGAGGCCCTACTACCTTTGTCAAGCAAATCCAGCTGTACAATGCTGCTGCTGCTGCTGCCGCTGCTGCTGCTGTAGATGCTGCTGTTTCTGCTGTTGCTGCTTTCGCCATTGCCGCTTGCGGTCCCCTTGCTGCTGCTGCCCTTAATCTTGCTCCTTGTGCTGCTGCTGGGTCCTCAGCTTATTGTCTGTGTTATTGCTACTGCTGCTGCTGTTGCTGCTGCTGCTTCTGCTGTTGCTGCTGCTGCTGCTGCTTGGGGTGCGCTCGCCGCCTCTTCTGCGCATTTCCTTTTTCGCCTCAACAAATGCAGCAATTCGGATTGTAAATAATTCCATTATTAAGTTTATTTAATTAAATTAATTAATTATTTTTTAATTAATTAAATTAAATTATTTTGTTATTTCAACAATTCGCCATCAGGTCTTCTGGAATTTAGTGCGTCTGTTTCCTGGGGGAGTTCCAGCAGCACTTGCTGCTGCTTTGGGCGAAGCAGCAGCAGCAGAGCTGCTGAGTAGAAAGAAGGAGCTTTCTGCAAAGGCAAGCTGCTGCTGCTGCTGCTGCCGCTGCTGCTGCTGCAGTTCTTGTTGCTGCTGAGGATGGTCACGCTGCTGCAGCCGGCGCCGCCGCTTTTCTCGTCCTGCTGCTGCTGCTGCTGCTGCTGCAGTTCAGCTGTTGTTGCTGCTGGAGATTTTGCTCGTGCTGCTGCCCGTTGCTGCTGCGCCTGCTGCAGGCCAAAGAAAATTTGCTGCAGCAGCAAGAGGCAGAAGCAGAACGAGCTGAGCGGCGGCTGCTGCAGCAAACGAAGGCAAACAAAAGCCGGCAGCAGCAGCAGCAGCAGCAGCAGCAGCAGCAAGACCGCATGCTGGAGCAGCAGCACGCACAGCAAACCGTGCAGCAGCAGGACCAGCAGCAGCAGCAGCAGCCAGACCCAGCAGCAGCAGCAGCAGACGCAGCAGTAGCAGCTGCAAATGTAGCAGATGCTGCACATGGAGATGCGGCAGCAACTGATGCAGCAACAGATGCAGCAAGAGCGGATCCAGCAGCAGGAGCTGCAGAAGTAGCCGTTGCTGCAGATGCAGATGCAGCAGCACCAGACGCAACAGCAGCAGCTGCAAAAGTAGATGCTGCAGATGCAGATGCAACAGCAGCAAGCGCGGAAACAGCAGCAGCTGGAGCAGATGAAGCAGCAGCAGCAGCAGCAGCAGATGCAGCAGCGAGGTCGACGTCAGAGACTGGCGAAGAATTAGCTGCGGCGATGCAGCAGACTGCAACAACAGCAGCAGCAGCAGCAGATGCAGCAGGCGATGCAGCAGAAGACGCAGCAGCAGCAGCGAGAGGAGGTTCGCCGAGCCTTCAAGCTGATGCTGATGCGGCTGCTGCTGCTGCTGCTGCTGGAGCGCCTGTGCGCCGCAGCAAGCGCACTGCAGCAGCAGCAGTAGCAGCAGCAGTTGCTGCAGCAGCAGCAGAAGAGGCTGCCGAAGCAGCAAGAGCCAGACGCTCGAGGCGCAGCAAACCTAAACCCTAAACCCTAGAGCTGAACTTGGTCAAACTTTGCGAAACCCTAAACCCCACAAAACTCTAAACCCTAAACCCTCGTTTAAATATGTTTAAATTCATTGTTCGACAAGACATGGAGAAAACTGGCATTGAGATTCCCAGCGGGGGCTTCTGCTGCAGTTGCTGCAGCAGCAGCAAAAGCCAAAGCTGCTGCTGCTGCAGTATCAACTGCAGCAGCAGCAGCAACTGCAGCAACAGCCGCAGCAACTGCGTGCTATACTCTTGCTCTTTTCCCTTTCTTCATTCTTGCTGTTGCAGCGCTGGCAAAGCCGTCCTCCTCTTCATCGCTTTGCTGCTGCTGCCACCGCTGCTGTTGCTGCTGCTGCTGCTGCTGCTTCAGTAGCTGCTGATGTTGCTCACGCAAACTGTGCTGCTGCTCGCCGTTTAACTGCTGCTGCTGCTGCCGTGCCTCTGTGCCGCTGGTTGCAGGCACGTCCTCTGCTGCTGCTGTGCCAGCTGCTGCTGCTGCAGCTGCGCCTCCTGCTGCACCTGCTGCCATTGCAGCAGCAGCCCCGGGCGCTGCTGCAGCTCTAGCGTTAGTTTCTGCTTGTTGCTGCTGCAGCTGCGCCCTCGAAGGCTGCAGGAAATCAACTCCTTCAACAATAGGCTTTCCCCCTAGGTCTGCTGCTGCTGCTGCTGCTGCTGCTGCTGCTGGCAGCGGCAACGTGTGCGCCGGAGGCACCTCTAGCTCTATTGGGGCCTCCAG